ATCTCTAAGAACAATCTCTAAGAACAGTCTCTAAGAACTATCTCTAAGAACAGTCTCTAAGAACTATCTCTAAGAACAGTCTCTAAGAACAGTCTCTAAGAACAATCTCTAAGAACAGTCTCTAAGAACAATCTCTAAGAACAGTCTCTAAGAACAGTCTCTAAGAACAGTCTCTAAGAACAGTCTCTAAGAACAGTCTCTAAGAACAGTCTCTAAGAACAGTCTCTAAGAACAATCTCTAAGAACAGTCTCTAAGAACAATCTCTAAGAACAGTCTCTAAGAACAATCTCTAAGAACAGTCTCTAAGAACAGTCTCTAAGAACAGTCTCTAAGAACTATCTCTAAGAACAGTCTCTAAGAACAGTCTCTAAGAACAGTCTCTAAGAACAGTCTCTAAGAACAGTCTCTAAGAACAGTCTCTAAGAACAGTCTCTAAGAACAGTCTCTAAGAACAGTCTCTAAGAACAGTCTCTAAGAACAGTCTCTAAGAACAGTCTCTAAGAACAGTCTCTAAGAACAGTCTCTAAGAACAGTCTCTAAGAACAGTCTCTAAGAACTATCTCTAAGAACAGTCTCTAAGAACAGTCTCTAAGAACAGTCTCTAAGAACTATCTCTAAGAACAGTCTCTAAGAACAGTCTCTAAGAACTATCTCTAAGAACAGTCTTAATGATCGACAGTGGGTTAAAGTGGAGGATTTGTTGTGTCGCTTAAACAAATCCCTGGAACCTCTCTGTTCTGTTACAGTGTTCTCTTCTCTGATCATCAACAAGTTTATGCAACATTTCAAAGTTCAAAGGAGGATTTACCCAGATTTTAGGAACGACAGCTGCAAAAATCATGAACTGTTGTGTGTTTGCTAGCTGTGTTTTACAGTTTTTTCCTGTTGCTTGAACACTATAGACAGACGCTTAGACCAAAGTTGCAGAACTTGAAGCTTTTGTTCTAAACCTAAAACACAGACTGACCATTCCTTAAACAAAAGTACTGCTTTGCACTTTCCTTTCATTTCTACAACACACTTTCTCCTTTTGCAACACACTTTCTCTTTCTGCAACACACTTTCTCCTGCTCTCTACACACTGTGTCATACATAAGACACTTTGTGCATATTTGCAATCCTGTGTTATCGTTGGGAAAACACATCTATTCAAAATACCAAACACATTGTGTGACTAAAAACACTGAGACACACACCAGAAAACACTGAATTACAAAATGCAACACACATCAGACAGACACAAACAGGCTTCAGTTTAGCCATTTTCAGAACTTTGCAAGTTTGAAGCCAGGAAGAGCAAGACAGAGGAAGACAAGGAGTTTAAGAGGATTAAAACAACACAATGTTTTTATGACATTAGAGCAACTTTTGTGGATCTTGTGAATACCTACAGTATTTACAGTACTGTATCACATGTACTGTAAGTCTCTACTGCAGACTGTACCTACAGTATTTACAGTACTGTATCACATGTACTGTAAGTCTCTACTGCAGACTGTACCTACAGTATTTACAGTACTGTATCACATGTACTGTAAGTCTCTACTGCAGACTGTACCTACAGTATTTACAGTACTGTTCTGTATCACATGTACTGTAAGTCTCTACTGCAGACTGTACCTACAGTATTTACAGTACTGTATCACATGTACTGTAAGTCTCTACTGCAGACTGTACCTACAGTATTTACAGTACTGTATCACATGTACTGTAAGTCTCTACTGCAGACTGTACCTACAGTATTTACAGTACTGTTCTGTATCACATGTACTGTTTTGCAAGTTGGCTATTGCTCCTTTTTGAAAGAAATGTAGTTTTGTGAAACATACAAGACGGTAAAGTACATAAAACTGAGATATAACAGTACTGTGTACATTTGTACTGTAAAAAAACTAAAAACCTATAGTAACAATTTGTGGTTTCATATTTATACAAAATGACTAAAAGAACATCCGGAGGTGGTCGGCAACTGTTCACCAACAACATGAACTTGCCTTCGTGGAAATAGTTAGACCATGAACCATGATCCATAATCCACACACGCACAACTGCTTAGTTTTACATTAGAGTTTTTTTTGTTTTACTGCATTGACACAATTGTACTGTACTGTAAAGTATGCTGTAGTACTGTACTGTAAAGTATGCTGTAGTACTGTACTGTAAAGTATACTGTAGTACTGTACTGTAAAGTATACTGTAGTACTGTACTGTAAAGTATACTGTAGTACTGTACTGTATTGAGTTGATATTATTTGTAACCTTTCAGTGTTACAGAGAACAAAAACAGTTCCATTGAGCTTCACAGAAAACTAACTGATAAACAGAATAAAAACAGTGAAAAATGACTGCAGTGTTTTATATAAAGTACTGTAGTGTGTTGCTTTCAATCTGAAAGTGTGTTCACGTGATGCAAGTGTGTGTCATTTTGTCCTCAGAGTTTCATTTTGACGAATGATTGTTTAATTTTGAGAGCAGAGTTTGAGTTTTGAGAGCAGAGTTTGAGTTTTGATAGAGGAGTTTGAGTTTTGATAGAGGAGTTTGAGTTTTGATAGAGGAGTTTCATTTTGACACAGATGTGTCTGGTTTATGTCCCAGTGTGTGTCAGGTTCTCGTGTGTGTAGAGTTTTGGGACTTTGAGCGAAATTTTGCAAACTGTGTTCAAGCAACAGGAAAAAACTGTAAGTGTGTTTTAATGAATGGCTTGGTGTGTGCCGTTTTGAAAGACACATTTACTGCTCAATTGAACAGACAATAAAGTTCTATTCTAAAAAAATACAAATTAAAAAAAGAACTGCCCCCTTTCTACTTTTTGAACAAAACTCTCTGCTCTGATTGGACGGGCACAAACCACCAGAATGATTGACAGGTGGGAGGACCAATAGTTTTGAAGATTCACCCAGAAGTAGAAAATCCTCCTTTAGACCTTCAAAGATTATGCAAATGAGTGAAAATGTTTTGAGGTAGGTTTCCTCCAGGTGCTCCGGTTTCCCCTACCTACAGTATCTTTCATACGCCAACAGACCCAAGGGTTTTCGTGAAGTCAAAAACCGCCTGCTCCAAACCGTGATGCGCAGGATTTATAAATGACAGGATTTCAAACACGAAAGTTGTGTTTTTCATGTTTTTCTGATTGAAAGTGATGAAATATTGAAGGCAGTGGTTTCTCGATCCAGACGAGGCGATTATTCCTGCTTTTGTCTGGTGTTTTGATGATATGTAGCATGATGTCCAATTATCAGCTCATTAGTGATGCTGCAGCAGTCTCCCCTCGGCCGCAGCCTCGTGAGCTGCAGCGTGTGGGCGGAACATGGACCGACTTCAGCTTTTATGGAGCTCTGTCTCTGGTTTGTCTTCTTTATGATTCAAATCCAAGTTAAAGGCTTTAACTCTCTCTCTCTCTGGTCTCTCTCTGGTCTCTCTCTAGTCTCTCTCTCTGGTCTCTCTCTCTGGTCTCTCTCTGGTCTCTCTCTAGTCTCTCTCTCTGGTCTCTCTCTCTGGTCTCTCTCTCTCTAGTCTCTCTCTCTGGTCTCTCTCTGGTCTCTCTCTAGTCTCTCTCTCTGGTCTCTCTCTCTGGTCTCTCTCTGGTCTCTCTCTAGTCTCTCTCTCTGGTCTCTCTCTCTGGTCTCTCTCTCTCTAGTCTCTCTCTCTGGTCTCTCTCTGGTCTCTCTCTGGTCTCTCTTTCTGGTCTCTCTCTCTGGTCTCTCTCTCTCTGGTCTCTCTCTGGTCTCTCTCTAGTCTCTCTCTCTGGTCTCTCTCTCTCTGGTCTCTCTCTCTGGTCTCTCTCTCTCTGGTCTCTCTCTGGTCTCTCTCTGGTCTCTCTCTCTCTGGTCTCTCTCTGGTCTCTCTCTGGTCTCTCTCTGGTCTCTCTCTCTGGTCTCTCTCTGGTCTCTCTCTGGTCCTCTCTGGTCCTCTCTGGTCCTCTCTGGTCCTCTCTGGTCTCTCTCTGGTCTCTCTCTGGTCTCTCTCTCTGGTCTCTCTCTGGTCTCTCTCTCTCTGGTCTCTCTCTGGTCTCTCTCTCTCTGGTCTCTCTCTGGTCTCTCTCTGGTCCTCTCTGGTCCTCTCTGGTGTTTCTCTCGGTTCTTCTTTGTCCTTTTTATAATAAAATCTTCTGTTCGAGGATTAAATTGTGACCTTTCAGCGGCAACTTCTCACTGTGTTCTGGGTTGTGTGTTATAGGTTGTGTGTCCTTGGTTGTGTGTTATAGGTTGTGTGTCCTTGGTTTTGTGTTCTGGGTTGTGTGTCCTTGGTTTTGTGTTCTGGGTTGTGTGTTATAGGTTGTGTGTCCATGGTTGTGTGTTCTGGTTGTGTGTCCTTGTGGTTAAGATAAGGTATATTTCCGTCCTTTACATTGAAACATAGTTTTTCCAGTTGGAAGATTAGACTCTTTCTCTGCTTCACTCTCATTTACAAACCTCCACCTCCCTCCTCCTCTCTCTCTCCACCTCCTCTCTCTCCACCTCCTCTCTCTCCACCTCCTCTCTCTCCACCTCATCTCTCTCCACCTCCTCCTCTCTCTCCACCTCCTCTCTCTTCACCTCCTCTCTCTCTCCACCTCCTCTCTCTTCACCTCCTCTCTCTTCACCTCCTCTCTCTCCACCTCCTCTCTCCACCTCATCTCTCCACCTCATCTCTCTCCACCTCCTCTCTCTTCACCTCCTCTCTCTCCACCTCCCTCTCTCTCCACCTCCTCTCTCTCTCCACCTCCTCTCTCTCTTCACCTCCTCTCTCTTCACCTCCCTCTCTCTCTCCTCCTCCTCTCTCTCCACCTCCTCTCTCTCCACCTCCTCTCTCTTCACCTCCTCTCTCTTCACCTCCTCTCTCTCCACCTCCTCTCTCTCCACCTCCTCTCTCTCCACCTCCTCTCTCTCCACCTCATCTCTCTCCACCTCCTCTCTCTCCACCTCCTCTCTCTTCACCTCCTCTCTCTCCACCTCCTCTCTCTTCACCTCCTCTCTCTTCACCTCCTCTCTCTCCACCTCCTCTCTCCACCTCATCTCTCCACCTCATCTCTCTCCACCTCCTCTCTCTTCACCTCCTCTCTCTCCACCTCCTCTCTCTCCACCTCCTCTCTCTTCACCTCCTCCTCTCTTTCACCTCCTCTCTCTCCACCTCCTCTCTCTCCCCTCTCTCTCTCTCCACCTCCTCTCTCTTCACCTCCTCTCTCTTCACCTCCTCTCTCTCCACCTCCTCTCTCTCCACCTCATCTCTCTCCACCTCCTCTCTCTCCACCTCCTCTCTCTTCACCTCCTCTCTCTCCACCTCCTCTCTCTTCACCTCCTCTCTCTTCACCTCCTCTCTCTCCACCTCCTCTCTCCACCTCCTCTCTCTCCACCTCCTCTCTCTCCACCTCCTCTCTCTTCACCTCCTCTCTCTTCACCTCTCTCTCTCCTCTCTCCTCCTCTCTCTCCACCTCATCTCTCTCCACCTCCTCTCTCTCCACCTCCTCTCTCTTCACCTCCTCTCTCTCCACCTCCTCTCTCTTCACCTCCTCTCTCTCCACCTCCTCTCTCTTCACCTCCTCTCTCTTCACCCTCCTCTCTCTCCACCTCCTCTCTCTTCACCTCCTCTTTCTCCACCCTCTCTCCACCTCCTCACCACCTCCCTCTCTGCACCTCATCTCTCCACCTCATCTCTCTCCACCTCCTCTCTCTTCACCTCCTCTCTCTCCACCTCCTCTCTCCACCTCCTCTCTCTTCACCTCCTCTCTCTTCACCTCCTCTCTCTCCACCTCCTCTCTCTCCACCTCCTCTCTCTCCACCTCCTCTCTCTCCACCTCCTCTCTCTTCACCTCCTCTCTCTTCACCTCCTCTCTCTCCACCTCCTCTCTCTTCACCTCCTCTCTCTCCACCTCCTCTCTCCACCTCATCTCTCCACCTCCCTCTCTCTCCACCTCCTCTCTCCACCTCCTCTCTCTTCACCTCCTCTCTCTCCACCTCCTCTCTCTTCACCTCCTCTCTCTCCACCTCCTCTCTCTCCACCTCCTCTCTCTCCACCTCCTCTCTCTTCACCTCCTCTCTCTTCACCTCCTCTCTCTCCACCTCCTCTCTCTTCACCTCCTCTCTCTCCACCTCCTCACCACCTCCTCTCTGCACCTCATCTCTCTCCACCTCCTCACCACCTCCTCTCCTGCTCCTCCACTCCACCTCACCCTCTCTCACCTCCTCTCTTCACCTCCTCTCCTCTCTCTCTCCTGCCGCCTGCAGATAGTAATTAATCAGCTGATCGATGGGAAGCCTATCTTGAGGCCGAGGCGTCGATAATGTCGATAATGCAGCTCGATGGCCTCGCTCCCACAGAGCCGTCTGACAAACACGCTCGACTTTGCACCGAGGACAGAGCTGCACGGTTTAAGACCAGAACTCACCGCGTGGAGCTAATCTCACTGGTAAAGTACCATGTGGCGCAGAACTAAAAAAGGTCTCGTTATGATTCTCAAATCATTAACGACAAAACAAGGAATAAAACCAGGATTTCTATCTTTGTGAAAAAGGTGTTGGTTATAGATTTGTTGTTGACAAAACTCTTGTCTATTCAGCTGTTATGGTCCCAGCTGGATTCGTCTGCATATCTGGCAACCTGAGTCAGGGAGAGTGGGAGAGGCTGCAGTACCACTTTGGGCCACATTTTTACACACTGCTCCTTTAAGTTACGTAGTATTTTGAATTTAGATTATTCCTCACTTTCTCCTCTATATATCCATTCATGTTGGTCCAATAATAAGAATTCTTTGTCTTCAGTGTCTTTCTGTCCTTCATACAACCTCAATTATTTTTCAAATCCAAATTATTTTAAATTGGTTTAATTCAGTTTGGGGGGTCTGGGGGCGACTGTTGGTAGAGCATTGGTCTTTGAGCCTGAAGGTCATGGGTTCGATCCCACCACGAGACCTTCTCCACTCACTCCCACTGATGTCCGCTGTTATTGTGTCCTTGGGCAAGACACTTAACCCCACTTTGCCTGAAGCCCTCACTGAAAGCTCTGACTGCCACCCTGACCCAGACATGGGTGAAGAGGAAGAAAATGGATGGTTCAATCATTGGTTAATATTTCACTCTGCACTGACGGCAACATATGTATTTGTTTTAACTATAATTCATGTATTTAGTGGAATTATCCAAAGAAAATAATCAATAGATTCCTCTCTGCGTCATTATGAGTTAGCCAAATGTTCTGTAGTGAGGCCTGATCCAAAACACAGTCGAACCTTCCTCCTCTGCTCCAATCATATGTTCCAATCTCCTTCATGATAGAAGAGAACATGTTCAGCTGTCTCTGTAGCTCTGCTTTGTTATTTTAATATTTCATGTCTGCTTTTGTAATATAAGTCTGTGGCTGAACTTGGGAAAGTCTCACCAGACTCTGCTTGGAATAAAAAGGACTCTGATTTTAAAAACGGGTCTTGTTCCAATTTGACCAGACAAAGAAGTGTTGTTACGTACAGACTTTATCCCCGTGACTCCTGCAGATGAAGGGTCTGTGGACGGATCAGGATTCTCTCAAACTGCCCTCGACAGTCTAGACTCTGGAGACGTGAATCCAAAAGGTCTAAAGACCTCAGGAGTAAAACCTCTCCACGCTGACCTCCCTGTGCAGGAACATACTCTTCTGTTTTTCTCCTTGTTCCGGGTTTCAGTCCAAACCCTACATCACAGTCAGAGTCCTGCCCCATCTGCCCCGCTCCACAACACACCCAAGAGTCTCAGCTTTGATTTGGGTGTGAAACTTTAACATTCTACAACATGTATGACATTTATCCACCTACATGGGCACTGGTCTCTCCCTTTAAACCAACTCATATGTGTATATTATGTGTTAACTGTTGATTCTCTGACCTGTGTTGGTGATTTCAGTGGTTTTGTTAAGTCTCTGAGATGATGCTGTTGTGATTTAGGACGATACAAGAATAAGTTGTTGTTGAAACATAAAAGGACCTGGTGATCACAAAGTAACAAACCAAACAACTTCAAACCAAGTTTGACACCAGAAACATTACAGTAAAAGTACAAACACGCAGCACTGGAAATACACCGTGTACACATGTACGTCTGGTCTTACCATGTGTAAACTCTGGTCCATGATCATTTCCTACATGTACGTCTGGTCTTACCATGTGTAAACTCTGGTCCATGGTCATTTCCTACATGTACGTCTGGTCTTACCATGTGTAAACTCTGGTCCATGATCATTTCCTACATGTACGTCTGGTCTTACCATGTGTAAACTCTGGTCCATGATCATCTCCTACATGTACGTCTGGTCTTACCATGTGTAAACTCTGGACCATGGTCATTTCCTACATGTACGTCTGGTCTTACCATGTGTAAACTCTGGTCCATGGTCATTTCCTACATGTACGTCTGGTCTTACCATGTGTAAACTCTGGTCCATGATCATCTCCTACATGTACGTCTGGTCTTACCATGTGTAAACTCTGGTCCATGGTCATTTCCTACATGTACGTCTGGTCTTACCATGTGTAAACTCTGGTCCATGATCATCTCCTACATGTACGTCTGGTCTTACCATGTGTAAACTCTGGTCCATGGTCATTTCCTACATGTACGTCTGGTCTTACCATGTGTAAACTCTGGTCCATGGTCATTTCCTACATGTACGTCTGGTCTTACCATGTGTAAACTCTGGTCCATGATCATTTCCTACATGTACGTCTGGTCTTACCATGTGTAAACTCTGGTCCATGGTCATTTCCTACATGTACGTCTGGTCTTACCATGTGTAAACTCTGGTCCATGATCATTTCCTACATGTACGTCTGGTCTGATCCTAGTGGCTGCAGTTTCCTCGGTTGAATCCCCTCCGACCAATCAGAGAGCGGGGGAGGCGGGTGTTGTAGGTCGGTGTCGGTGACGTCCAGAGTTTGTGCTGAATTTGCTGGTTGTAGTTTGTCGGAGAATGCGATAGTAAAATAATCTGTTCTGGTTCAATCCAAATATCAAGAAACTGAAAAGGAGTTAGCCCCTCCCACCTGTTAATGGAGTCAATGGAGCAAATCCAGACCTTAGTACCATGGTATGGTAAGACCAGGCTAGTGTTGGTGGTGGTCATGACTTCCTTAGCGGACCATCAGGCGGTGGTCACATGGTAAACACTGGTCTAGACAATGCAATGAATATGAATAATGCAACTGTAATATGGACTTTTCTGATTATTAGTTAGCTTCTTGGTAATTGGTTTTATGGGATTTAGTCAGTTCAGCGGGCATGGGCGAATTTGTTTAATTGCAGGCTGTGGAAAAATATCAATAAGTAAAGATTTTTGAGGCGTGATTGTGAGTCTCACTGCCTCGGGCTGACATATGAAGGTACTCGATTCAGTCTGATTTGCATTCATTAAAGAATCCAAGGAAACCAGATCCAGGTTTGCACAGACTCACCTTGAGCACGCTGCATTGTTAGTGCCGTGTGCTTCGGCGCTGAGAACAGTTAAGTACCGAGGATAAAGCCTCCATTTATCCCTCGGCAGTGGTTCTCCCCCAAACAGAAGAGACACGGCTGTCCGCTACCGTCCGCCACCGTCCGCCACCGTCCGCCACCGTCCGCCACCGTCCGCCACCGTCCGCCACCGTCCGCTACCGTCCGCTACCGTCCGCTACCGTCCGCTACCGTCCGCTACCGTCCGCCACCGTCCGCCACCGTCCGCCACCGTCCGCCACCGTCCGCCACCGTCCGCCACCGTCCGCCACCGTCCGCTACCGTCCGCCACCGTCCGCTACCGTCCGCCACCGTCCGCTACCGTCCGCTACCGTCCGCCACCGTCCGCTACCGTCCGCTACCGTCCGCCACCGTCCGCTACCGTCCGCTACCGTCCGCTACCGTCCGCTACCGTCCGCTACCGTCCGCTACCGTCCGCTACCGTCGCTGCCTGATCATACACTGTAAATATTAACAGATGTAGTCATGTCTATCTTCACCGTTCAAACTAATGTGACATCACTTATGCCATCTGTGGGGCTTTTCAAAATGGCCGCGGAGGTTGGAGAATGTGAAGAAAAAACCCCATTTGTTCATGTGTTAGCTGCATTAGCTCCATTCATTTAACGAGTGCATTCAAAAGTCCACAGCGACTAAACTAGACTGGTCCCAAAACATATACTCCCCTCAGACAGCATCTGGAACCAAGAGGACCCAGAACCACTTTTGGACCAAGAACCACTTTTGGACCAAGAACCACTTTTGGACCAAGAGCCACTTTTGGACCAAGACCCACTTTTGGACCAAGACCCAATCTGGACCATCCTGTAAAGCCGTTTTTGAGAGGTAAAAAGATGCTACTCATTAGCATTGGCTAATTCTTATTCCGGGTCCGCCCCCACAGGCCCGGGGTGGTATTGCAGCATGTCACCGCACATCATTTTGGACATTTTTGAGCCGGGACCCGCCCACACTGTGCCCGACCAGAATCCGCTCATCCACTTCATGCTGTAATTGCCTGTGTCAACGCTGAGAAATGGAAACGATCAAGTTAATGAAACATTTTAATTATTCAACATAATTGTGGGCCGTGATGAGAGAGGGTGATTCCGTGGCCGGTCTCACAGAGGGGTCTCCTTCGTCTTCGCTGCTGTTTCGTTGGTCTCAGATATGGAACATGCTCTGCCTTTTATAGCCTCTCCTCCTCTGTGGAAGCACACGGATCTGTCTGCTTATAATTACTTGGCCTTGTCTGTTGGAGGTGGCTCCCCGGCTCTGCCCACCTCAGCTCTGCCCCCTAATAACCCTTTTCTCCTCCTCCTCAGCCGCTCTGCACATCACCACAGAGCTTATAGCCTTGGCATGCGGTGGAGAGCAGCGTTTTAACTACAATAGGCCGAGTGTAGAGGATGGATGACAAAGAGGACCAAAGAAT